GTCATAATTGTATTAATTAGGGTAATGAGAGCGTAAAGTTTTATTTGGAAGATTTAAATTTATTTAATGATATCGCATATGAAAAGCAAAGATCGAATAGATTGCCTAGACACAAGTGATGTCAGAGTGGTTTGAGAGCTTAGCGAATACAATTTCACTGTAATTTTTCAAGTCTATTGGTATGAGTTGCGTAAATTGGTTTCTATATTAAAGTGGCGTTTTCCAGCTTTGAACGAACCAGAGTGTTATATAGGATTTTTCTGGTGTAGTGATCTTTGAAATCTCTACCATAGCGCCGCAAAAAAGCAAGGTAAAACTAGGATTTCGTAATGGTATAGCTAATATAATTAATGAAGTTAAATACTGAATCAAAAATTACTAGGTATGAAAATTCCCTAAGAGAAGTAAGTCTTTTATCAAACAGATAATAAGTCAACTTATGCACTTTGAAAGTGTTATATGAAAACAATTTTTGGTAATTAAGCGGTAAGTTATTTCGCTCTAATTAGGTACTTTGTTAAGCTCATCTTGTAATAGCAAAACATCTGACATAAAAGTAATACTGCTGAAGATTTTAGTCATCAGCGTACAGCAAAAACTTGGAACGCCTAGACCAAGCTCCAATGTAATTAGTTAATGGATGAAATATAATTGGGCCTTGGATGTCACCCGGGTGTACCCAAGAAATGGTCCCGAAATCATGTGATCTCGTACTCTCGATTTCAACAAAACCAAATTTATTGGATAGGTATGATCTAACCCAGCAAAGAAATGTATATTGTATACCTAAACATTCAAGCTTAAGCAATAAAATGCTGTGCGTGATGGCATCAAAGGCTTTTTAGAAGTCGGTTTAGATAATGTTTACTTCACATCACTTCTTAAACGATGAAATGCAAAACTGATAAACACAGGCAAGACTCGACGCAGTTGAACGACCACAAAAAAACCATGCTGGCACGGATTTATGGATCCTTTGAATAAAAAATTAGTTTTTCTGGAACCACTTTCTCGGAGAGTTTCGCGCATGTCGAAAGTTTAGATATAGGTCTGTAGTTTGTTACATAATTTTTCTTACCAGTACATAGATATATAGATAGATGCCAAACTAGATAGATTTTTCGTCTCTCCTGAATAATTTTAAATATGGACCTGGTACCTTTTACCTTTAGGAAGACTTTTATTTTATTTGAAGAGGTATTTTGGCCTCCTTTTCTGCCTCATCCCAGTTGGAAAATATAATGTATTGTAATCGAAAAAATAATCTGTAAAACAGCCGTTTTCACATTCGAAAATGCATTATTTTTGCCTAGGTAGGAAACTGGTAATGCAAAATTGAATACCCCACTTTACTTAGGATGAATGTGATTTAATAGGAAATTTTTGCGACGTTTTGGATACATTCGAATGCTGATTACATATTAAACAGTATCTGTTAGAATCTAGAACTTGTAAGTTATACATTACATTATCTATCACGCATATGTAATGCATTACTACTTTTCCCACTGGGATCTTCAGGAATTCCACATATGTGACCTGGTCTACGAAAAGGGAGCTTACGTGCGAAAACTAGTTTTCTGTGAAAAAGCTGTTAAAAGTAAGCAACTCGTTTCGTCAGTTTCTCATCATCTCGTTAATTGTTCTCCGCGCCGGACGTCCAGTAAGTGTTGTTGTTGGTCGGAATATTATTATAGTTCATCGTGTAAGTTGCTAGTGTGGAACATTTAAAAAAGTAACACTGAAGAAGTGACGTTTACTGTTTCTGTTTATACATTTTTAGTACACTTCTAAGCAAGTTAGGATAGTCCTAATTTTATGATGGTTCCTTAATATATTTTAACTACATTGCATTTGAGTATGGAGGGGCAACTATCTGGAAGTATTTTACATAAAAAATTTACTAAGTATTGCCCGGTTTGTAGTTGCAGTTAAAGAAAACACATGAAAAGGCACGATGTTTTTTAAATTCGAAAAAATGTAAATATTTCATAAACGGTGACACTTTTACCAGAAAATTTTTTGTTTATCAGTGAGCTCACCCCCCACCTACCTTCCCCTAAAGTTTGGCAGGTTACTTCTGGGTCACCCTGTATATACTTCCAGATTTGCGTAAAGCTCAACAATTTTGGAGATGAATAGCATACACATTCAAATGCTCTGCTGTTAAACTTATGTCTTACTCTCTTTTTTCGAGTGGTTAGTTGTGCGTACATCATCAGTTTCCAACAGCATTTTATGATGAGGTTTTCTTCACTTGTAAATGATTTTGTCGTGTCTTGTCATTGAAAAATCATGCACATAAAGTATGTTTGTATGTAAGTGCTCTCATATTCACCCTTTAGGGAAACGCACTAGTACCGAACTGTTTCGGTGCTAATAAATTTAGAACCAAGTTAAGTCTCTTTTGCATGCTAGCTAAAATCGACAGAGCAAAAAAGTAACATGGTAGCGATTTTAAATTTGTTTCAAAGAAATATGTATTGAATTTGAAATCAAATTTGTTTGAATGAATGTAATTAAAATTGAGCATTTGAAAACGCGTTTACATACCTTTGGCTGTAGCTGAGTTTGTAGAGGTGCTCGCTATTATTGGGTAGATTCCATAAGGTCCCAAGATGTTAGAATGTTAATACATTTTTTTTTGTATTACGAAACTATGAAAAAGCATCGGTAAATTTCATAATGAAATCGTATTTGAATTAAAAAAAACCCAAAAAAATATCCATTTAAAAGGAAATTCTGGAAACTATCCTAAAAGCACTTTACTGTCTTTCGAAAAACTAATTGAAAGATCTGCTAACGAAGAGATGTTTTTTAAGAATAAGGTTTTAAAAATTTAAGTTGAATTTAAAAAAAAAACATATCTATTTTCTTTTCAAAAAAAAAAAAACATTTACAGTAAAAGAAAATTTAATTAGAAGAAGACAAAAAAAGAAGGAAATAGTACCTAAAAATTAAATTGGATTAAAAATATATTTTTCTTCTTAAAACAGTAAAATTTAATAATTAAAAGAAAATTAAATTAAAAAAAGAATAACAAATTAAATTAAAAAAGGAGAAAAAATAGAATAAGTTTCTGAAAAGTAAATGAATTAAAAACAATATATTTTTCTTTTTTACAAAATAAAATCTAAAAATTTAAACTAAAAAAAAATATTTAAAAAAGAGTAAACTAAAAGTTAGTTTCTCAAAATTAAATGGAACTAAAACAACATTCTTTTTAAAACCATAACAAGCAAACCATTAAAGAAAATTTAATTAAAATTTTTTTTTTTTATAAAAAATGCCTAAAATACGTTTTAAGAAGTTAAATTAAATTAAAAAATATATACATACATGCTTTCTAAAAGTAATCAAAATATTATTTTTTTTTAAGAGGAGAGATAACTAGGGTACGTAGCTAAAAATTTAGTTCACTTGTTCGGGATTTCCCTGCATGGATATACATATGTATGTAGTTACCTACATACATACATGCACATTTTCTTATGATTAACTACTTATATTCTCTACGCTACTGGGTAAACATAAATGGGTTAGTGAGTGCATGCCTTTGTTGGTAGATACTGTTTAAGAATAAAATATTTACACTTAACCTTGTGTTTGCATGAGCTATTGCAATGAAATTTCAAACTCAATCGTTTGGAATGAAAATGAATGAATTAAAGATATGAACAAATTGTATAACTGTACGTATGTACATATGTGCATAAACTATTGTGACATGCTGAGTAAAATGCTTGCACATACAACTAGCTAAATGTGTGCATCGCTTGATTGTTGGAAATATTTCTTGCAAAATTTGTTTTCTTGTTTTGATCCTTTTTACGTACGAGTGAGAAAAGAAACTTCAAATATTTAACACACGCACACAAATCCATTGTGGCGCGCACGCAATTTTGATGTATAGAGCGTGTGATAATCCTCGCAACAAATGCAAATAAATATCAACATAAATACATATGTATTTATGTATGTTATGTGTGAGAATTTTTCTTTTGTATTCCGCATATTCCGTTGACATACATACATACATACATATGTATCGATAACGATGATTATGCGCGCAAATATTTGTTTTGTGCGCGAGCAAAGTGTTTTCAACGTTATTGTGATAAAATTGTTCATTATGTAAATATGCAAACATAAATACATTAAAGCAAAAAAAACTCAGTTTTTGGGTATTTAAGCTTCGTCATACGGCCTGGTTCACATACTGACACATATTCCAGTTCAATTTTTTTACTCGACTATTTACTTTAATAATTATTCCTTTGAGCTTTGCAACACATGTTGCTACTTTCCTTGTTGTTGAAAAAATTTTTAATTAATTTTCGATGATTAAATTCCTTTTATAATTTTTTGTTTGTTTATTTTCAGACGCGCCCGTTTGCAGTACTAATACAATGATTGTGATTGGCGCTTCGCTAGAGGAGGCGGTGCCTATACCTTGCCGTGTTAATTCCGACCCACCGGAAATTGATTTTGAATGGACTTTTTCAACGAGCGGCGAACACTTTGAAGTACCATCAGGCCATTATGCGACGATACAGGAAGCCACGACCACCGGTGACGTACATCGTACTATAATCGAAGCGAACGATACACACTTTGAGACTTATGGTAATGTAATATTAAAAAATAAATGCCCTTTTATGCAATGATTTTCACCAAGCCTTCATCTAAGGCACATTTTTCTTTCGGTAATGTAAAAATTTGAAAATTCCATGCCAAAATGCTTACCACTGCTTTCCAATGACCAGCCGTGTTTAGTTTTACTACTATCTCGTACCAACCAACCGGTAGTGATGCACAAAATTTCTGAGTTATGCCACAGCAGTTCCTTTTGTTAGAAAATACAATTTTGTGTGGCAAAGCTTTAAAAACTATAAAGGTAAATAGTGAAATTAATAAATAAAATTTGTAAAGGTAAAAAAAAAAGTTATGGGCGTAGTATCTGTACAACGAAGAGTTCAAACTCTGATTCAAAACTATAGAAATATTAATATTAGGCCGTGATCCCGTTTTCGTACGAATCTAAAACTTGAAATTTTTTTAGAAAATCAAAAGAGATTTTCATGATTTCCGATTCTTTTTGATCGGCGGATTTCTCGTTTTCTAACTATTAACATCTTTATCTTTGCTCTTTTCATTTTGTTTAATTGACTACAATTTTCTCATACAAATGTGTGCATAACTTTTTTATTACATAAGGTTTCGATAGTTTACCAAATCACATTTGGTCATACAAATATAAGTACCTAAAAGGAGAAAAGGTGGCAATTCCATTTTGATAAAAATTTAATTTTTGACGCAGAATGCCAGGTAATACGAAACTACATCGATTTTTCGTCCCTCCTGAATAATTTCAAAAAATGGACTTGACACCTTTTCACCCTTAAGTGACGATAGGTATATACGCGCATAGGTTTAAGTTTTATATACATACATATAGGGTCTCAGACAAGTGACCACGTCTGATTTTTTATTTTTTTTTTAATATTCACAATGTTCTTGAAGCGATTTTTTTTTTGTTATTTATTAAGCTAGGATCAAATAGCACAATATGTACCGATTTCCAACGAGCTTGACTTGTACATATTTAAAAAAAAAATTACAACTACTTTTTGAGTGGTCCTTTATCATAGCATTTTCCACAACTTTTTTCGGGTCAACATGATCACATTATCGTGCTTGAATGATAATAACAATAAACAAATTCTTGACTTTGAGCGCCTGACGAAATTTGCCGCGTGTTTTACAATTTTTTTTGTTCTACAATGAGAAAAATAGTGTTCACATTATCGGTAAAGCAATATACGTTTTGGTTGCTTGTAGCCAGCACAACTTTGACTCAGACCCCCTGCTGTTACATTTTGAACATATTCCCAAAGCTCGCCAAAAAATGTAAAGATTAGATCTAACGACATAAATTTAAATCGCGCATGAGTTCCATAACAAAATTCGGAGTGGAAAAAAAATTTGAAATATTTATTTTCTTATATTAATTAAAATAATGTGATTACACACTTGCAAGTTTTAAAAAACAAAGCTCGTTAAGAGTACTCTCATGTTCTGAGGAGTTATATATTTTTTTAAGAGCACTCCGAGCGCTAGCGTTATTTACATTCTCTTCACTACAAACTCCTCACATGTTCGACTTACTTATCAATTTGCATATGGCGTATTTGTAAAACAGTTCATTCAGTCCATCAAGTTGTATGCAATGACCTGGCACCCAGAGTAAAGAAAGCTCGTTATGTTTCTCAACATAATTTAGTCGAGACTTGAATTGCCGAACTAGTTTGAAAGAACTTAGATAGAGGACATGCCAATTCCTTAAGTCCAGCTTGGCTGTACCTGCAGACACGTAAACTCCTTCCCCTCCACCTGTTTTCCACCACGTAATCCATGGCTTTGAGGATTGCAAATGCCTCAACCTGGAAGATCAAAGAATATTTTCTAAGAGAAAAGTGAAGCGCTTATGCCCATTAACTCCGAAAATAAACCCAAGATCCTGACCCTGAGAAAGTTTTGGAATGAAGATTCGACAATATATGAGTCCGAACTCAGTGCAGGAATTAACCCCGCTTTCCGCCTCAGGGTACTCAACAATATAGAATCTCTTGAACAAAGGTAATAGTGGCGCACTATGCTGTCGCATTGAAAAGACACAAGTACTAAAATCTCTGCCGCCAGCAATTTCCGTCTCGCCCCACTCAGTGTTATACCAAACATCAGGTTCCTTTTAGTCTGCAGTTGACTTTTAAGGCTTCCCCAAGTATGAAGACACAAAGTGACGGTAAGTGCAGCAGTGCGCCAAGATCAAAATACACCACTCAAAAAAAATAAAATAAAATAAAGTTAAATATATATAGGCTATCAAGCAACTGTTTTGGTTATTTACTATCGAAACCGGATAAATTTTCTTGGACCCCTACTTAAAACTCGTGGGCCCCCATATTTTTTTTCACGCCAACATAGACCCACCCATCCATGGACCCCTGTGGGCCACCTGGACCACTTTGGAAATCACTGCACTACATTGTTTTGGCTGATTTGGGCCAAAACCGAACTAGTTCGAGAGATTTCGATATTCCACGTGGTCAGGTCTTTTACACCTGAACCATCAGTTCAGTAATTTCTGGGCGTTCTTGCCCTTGAGGTGAAACCTTTTTACATGGAAAATGAGGCAGGGTATTACATACCGGCATACACAATTACGGGATGCACAAGGCGTATTACGCGTCGTAATAACTTAAGCCTTAAAATTTTTTTATGTAAAATTTTTCTATGTAAATTATGCCAGAAGTTCTTCTTTGTAGATTTACTGGCACATCCGGCTATTTAAGGCTGATTTCCTGACTAACTACACTGGCTTACATATTTTAATTTTTTTTGTTCTCCAGACGCCACTATGCAGAATCGCTCGCTGATCCCAAAAACTTAGTTAATTTTTTATTTATGCATACGTTTTCGAAATATTTGCAATTAACCATTATTAAGCTTAAAAAAGAGTGGGCCCTCTTATTCATGTATATCTTACGAACCAACTGCAAAATCAAAATACAAAGAAAGTAAAATTCTCCATATACCCTATATACATACATCACTATTCGATAGCCCCGATAGTTTCAGAGAAACTAATTCATTATTCAAGATTTTTTGTTTTTTTTTTATGAAAAAATGGAAACAATAAAAAATTTAAAAGAGAAATACTTAAAAAATACGAGTTTCTGTGTAAAAGTTTTGCACTTATTTTAAAGCCTATTCCTTTAGAAAAAAATTAAGCTACCAACGAAGAAAATCGATGGATAAATAAGAATGTAATGATTGCTAAAATGAAAATACGCACTAATTTTTTGTGTGAAATATAAGCAGTAAATAGTATTACTCGTAAGCCACGTACACCTGAGTAGGTAGCACGATTTAGAAAATAAATGTCACGCCATTCGCGGACCGCTAACCCTCTCTTCGTCGATTTGACACCATCCACCTAATCGCTGACGTCATAAACTACTTTTGTTTACATTCCCTGTTGCCAACTTCACGCTTTTCGCACCAAACAAACAATAAGTATAAAATCAGCTGCGTTTCAGAAATTAAAGCAAAACTTTAAAAAAAAATTAATATTCTCCATTTTTAGAAATGAAAAGAATAAATTTCTTTCTAATAGTGGTCGGGCCTTGGCCGGCATTGCAAACCTCCGAGTGTATTTGTGCCACGAAAAACAACTTCTAATAACAAGTAATTTCTAACCTAAAAACAAACCCAACTTCAATTTTCATATAAAAATTTAGGAGTACCGTTATTTTCATGATCCAATGACCAGATCTAAACCTCTTCTGAGGCACTACCTTTGCGATGCAAAAAGAATTATCGAAATCGGTTGAGGTGATACAAAGTTATGCGGTAACATACATAAAAACAAAAAAAATATTCCGACGAACTGATAACCTCCTCCCTTTTTTGGAAGTCGGTTAAAAATACAATCGCCGTTCATAATCCGCGTAAAACTATAGGTTTCACATCACAAATCGGAGAAGAAGCTTGCCCAAATACTGACATTTTGCGTAAGCGCCGATATATTATTATTATTAATGCTATCGACAACAATTCAGCATGTTACTTCCATGAAATTCTTTAAAAAAAAATTTTCCGAACCTTGTTATTTATGGTTTTTTTTATGCAGCGCAACTTCGCAGTAGCTACAAGTAGATTTTGCATTTTGTTGATTTTATTTGTTGAAAAAATTTAAATGAACAAAAAGAACACTAAGCTGTATTCTACCCCAATTTCTTTAACCCACATTAGTCCTTAGGGTCAAAGTTTACGCTTTTTTAATTTTGAATCCGATTTTCTCACTTGTTTTGGGTCAGATCAATCTATTTTTTTTTTACTTTATTTTTTCTGCTAAAAAATAAAATTCTGTTTATAATGGAATTTCACATTGTAATTGAAGTAGTTTTTTTTCTATCCTTACCAATTGGATCTAAGGGTCCCAAAGGACCCTATTCTCACATAACAGAGAAAATTTAAATTTTCATTGGGATTTTGGGAGGAATAATTCATCGTCTAAGCAATTCCGTCCAGTTCGTTGAACAAACAGAGAGCATAGGAGCCAGCATTTCACTACCAACTGGATCCAGTACAAATAAACGTGGGCGATATTTCTTATGTCAATATGACATAAGCGCAAACAAATTTCTAGGCATTTGAACTCCATTTGGTGATCGAATGGTCGTTTGAACGAACGAAGACGACCAGTCACTCGTTCGGGACTGTCATCATTCCAAATTAGGAGACGATTAGTACGTCCACATCTGTTATAATCCGAAATATGCATTTTGACGTTTGAGCCCGTTTCCAGCTGCAGAAGATATGCAGTCAGTTGCTGAGGTTGATATTGGCGAACTGAGATAACACTAGAATCGCTGGGCTTTAAAACCAAAGCCTTCAGGGCGACGAACATAATGAAATGATGAACTGTTCATGCTCTATAATATTTATTATGGACATACATACATAAGTATGCGCTAGAGTTACATAGTTGGGAGAACTTCGTAAGGCTAAAAGAGAAAATAAGAAAGATTTTTTTTATATTTTGTTTGGCTATGCTCTAAATGTACCTAAAGGAATGTGTTTGTACCGAATATACTTTCAAAAAATTATAAAAGGCGCGAAAAAAGGAAAATTTTAGCTACTTACTGAAAGCCTATTAGGTAATGTAATACCTTTTTACAATTGTATTCATTTAATTAGTGGTCAAATAATTGCAATAATTTTTTGTAAGTAATGCCCGACGGCTTAAAATTACTTTCGTTGAGGGTCCCTACTGTACCAAGTACACAGAAGCCCGCCGCTACTGAGAAAATACGATTTGGTTAATATTATTTTGTGGTGGCACACATTGAGAGTTATTTTATTTGATGTAGCAATTCAAGTATTTCTATTGCAACAGCAAAATAAATTTAATATTTGCGACTATACACAATCAGTGGGAAAAGTTCCTATGAAATTTTTCCAATTATTTTACTACTTGTATTAACTTGTTAGTCAAATCAGTCCTCTAGGTATTGAAATCATAAAAATTGGTTTAAATCAAGATTCAGTTTCATTTTGTTTGGAATTCAATTGAAAGCGTAAAATTTGTAAGTTTTATTTTGAATTGTACCCTTTTATTCTGATATAACAACATTTCTGGTTTTCCGCTTTCCTCTCACGTCTTACCTTGCCAGGTCAATCATTTACGTATGTACAAACATATAGCATACCTGAGGCAAATTTATAATCCTTTTGATTATACCCGTACATGACTCAATGATGACGCAACTGATGATAATTGAATTTATTTAAAAATTTTCGTAAAAACAAGGAAATCCCTTCAAAACCAATCACTTAGAAATGTTAATTCTGTCGTATGTAGTATACATATATATCGCCAAATATTCATATGTATATAAACTTATGTTTACAAATAAACAACTAATACATTTGTGTATATTGTTTGCTCTTCTCTTACAGTAGAAACCGTAAGCGAATTGATATACACTCCAAAGGGGGAACGAGACTATGGCACACTGGCATGCTGGGGCCAAAATTCAATTGGCAAACAATCAGAGCCGTGTTTGTTTCAAGTAGTGCCAGCAGGTAAGTCAACACACAACAGTTTGTATCTTGAGTTATTATGGTAAATGACGAACCAGCTCATATATGTACATATGTAAGCACATGTTATTTTGGAAGTAGGTGCTTTTATGATACAGCATTATTGGCTTACTTGTTGCAAGGAAGAATTTATGTGGACAGTTGCACAATACTCAGAAATTGCGTAGACATCTCATGAAAATTGTCCAGTGATTGTGTTATTGTACTCGTATGTAGGGGGAATTAAATAAAATCAAATAAGTAAATTGATTTTATGTATGCACATTGGGGTGATCTAGAAATGCACAGGAAAATCTACTTTTTGGCATTTTCCTGCTGCCACCGCCAGAACTGAGGAATATCGAACATAAGGGAGCCATATTTTTCTTTTATTTCAAACGATTAATATTTAGCGATGCCGCCGGGATTTGAAAATTTCCATATGTTTTACATGGGGAAAATAAAATTTTTCGTAGAACTGCTATAGAATTGTGATCTTTTAATCGAAAATCAATATTTTTTCAGAAAACTTTAAAATTTAAAATTTTGCTATCAAGTATTTTGCGGCCGCTGTGAGTGAGTGGTTAGAGGAGAGTACTTTGTAGGATCTGGGTTAAATACTTGTTCTGAGCAATGCCCAAATAACCAAACGTTTTTTTTCTAAGAGCGGTCGCCCATCGGCAGGCAATGGCATTCCTCAGAGTGGTAGTTCTGCCTTGAAACAGCATGTATTTTCCTCATGTAAAATATATTGACAACTTCAAAGCTGCGGCGGCACGTTAGCTGGAAAAATATATGTACATATGTATGTAGGTAGTCTGTTAGAAATGGGGGAATGTGACAATGCTGTGACTTATGAAAAACGCATAGATTTTAAGCAAACAAAACAGGAATGCTGCAAGTAAGATAAGAAAAAATATAAATAAAAATATCTGTTTGTTTTTGTTATTGTTGAATAAAAATATCCATGGAAAATGCATTTCATGATTGTACATTTAATTGAAAATCTCAGTGCGAACAAGAGTTGCTCATAAAAATACATTTGCTTCATTGCCAATTGAGAAAATTTAATTATTTTGGCCTCTGAGAATATTAAACAGCAGTCTGGAGCTTAGGTAAATCTATGAATTCACCACACACAACTCTTTATAATTAGTAATACCTATGACCAACGCCAGGCCAATGTTGGTGGCCATATACTGTTATTCGGCCAAAAAAAAAATATTTTTCTTTTATTAAAATGAGTATTAGTTAGAGCAAACGTTGCGCCAGCTGCCTTTTGGATATGTCCTGGTCATGTATGGTTTTTAGCCTATTAAAGTATCAAGATCATAGATATTTGCGCCAGAGCTATGAGAGTCGAGGTAGCTGAAACCCTTCGTCTGCGGCGAGAGTTGGTAAAGACGACAATTGTCTTTCAGTGAATGCGGTTAAATCTCTTCTGCGTGTTTGAAGATATCCCTAAGAGAGGGTAAGTGCCTTTCTTTGTTGGCAGTTGAGCAGCGATTGTCTGTCGTGAAAAATTGACGATGAAATTGATATTCAGCCGAAACCAGAATACAACCCGTTTCTCTCCGAAGTGTGGCCGGCCTTCTACTATTTATAAATTGATTTAATTTCCCACTTTGAGTTGCAACTCTGACTATGAACTCGAAAAAGTCAGAATAGATCATACTTCCAGTTTTAGAACGGTACGCCAATACGAGTTCAAGTTATGAGCCATATTAGGGTTTGTAATATGACGCTTCTCTGAGTTTCAAAAGCAAATAATCTTCATAATTCTGATTACTGATAAACTTTTACTTATACGGTAACTTTTTTACTATTTTTCAATTCAGAATTTATGACACCAAAAGAGTCCGAAATGGGTCAGCCTAGTTGACTGGGCTCAGAATCAATCATATTTATGGCGAAAGAAATACTCATTTTAGGCCCATGAATCCTGAGCATTGAGAAAATGGTTTAACCCTTTGCCTACCATGGAAAAAAACTAGCATTACCAACTGTTCGGGTCCATTAGGTCCCTATGTATGGGCTGGCAGTTCCCGCTAGATTTAGAATAGCAACATCAATTATTTAAAAATGATTAAAATAATCATAAAAGTATACTATAGACTACATGAAAATAAGCAAATTAAGGGAATTATTGAGCTCAAAACCATCAGATATTGATAATGGTAACATAATAAAATTGTATTCGGGTCCATTGGACACAGCCGGTATACAAAGGGTTAAAGGGATACTATAAGCTACATACCTTATTTATTTATTTCGTTTTAGCAGGAAAAGTAAATAAATTTATAGATAATCTCAAATAATTGCATTTATTTACATACATACATACATATATTTATTTGCACAAAGGCTTGCCAAATACGACTAACAATCACTTTATTTTCTAAGAGCTATAACGCTGTTATTTTCTCTCTCTTTTATCAATTGTCCACGCACACAGCTAAGCCTGGCGCGTTGCGCAACTGTACGTTGCGTCCATATGTGGTGACCTCCGCCTCGCTAAACTCATCGAATCAGACAACAATGCATGGCAATCAGATGGTGCCGGCACAATATGGCCGACACGAATCAAATTTTCCGCATATGGAGTATGTACGTGAGCGTAATAATAACAATAGCAACAACAATAAGAATGGCAATAAAATTCACAATAGCGATGGCAGTGGCAACAACAAAGCGAGTAGCACTAGCAAAACCAATAATAAAATAAGCAGCATTCTTAATAAGCAACAGCAACAGCAACAGCGAAAAAATAATGCAAATACATTGATTGGTCAGCAGCAACAGAAATTGCATCACCAACAACAAAAACATCGGCCGCCACAAGTGAACGAACAACAACAGCGACAACAACTGCAACGCCTGAAAGAACGTACATCATTTACGCCATCTCAGACACTGGCGGCAATCAAGAGACAACAACAGCAACAACAACAGCTGCAACGACAGCAGCAACAACAAAAACATAACAAGGAAACATCATCATCATCAGCAGCAGCAGCAGCAGCTGTCGCAGCTGAAGCGTCCGCAGTAGCTGGAGCTGACATTAACAAAAAATTGCTAGCAGCTGCAACGCGTAAGCCAGCGACTTTGCAGGGTACAGATGCCGCAGGCAACTTAGCAACGATGGCGTATATCAATAACAAAACTGATGGATTACCCACGAAGATGCGAGTGGACAGCAAACATCGAGTGAAACGTGCTGCTGATGAGCATGCAACAACAGCTAAACAGCACAACAAGAACACCAGTTCGAAGCATAAGCAAAAGAAGAAGATTCACAAAGAGACTGCGTCAGTGAAGGAGCTACAGCTACAGCATTCAAGAAAGCTAACTTCAAAGCAGACGCAGAAGATGAAGATGAATGTGAGCAACAAAAGGCAAAAATCAAATTTATCACTGCCAACAGTTGGTGATGAGGCTGCGGCTGTCGTCGGCAATGGCAGAAATGTGCAGGCCAACAACAAGGGTAACAACAAGCAAACGCCAGCGACGAAATACTACAATTGGCGGCGAAAAAATACGCACAAACGTGAGGTGGCACCAGTGATGAGCGAAGTAATCCATCATTCAACGGTAATGGCAACGGCAATGCCAACAGCAACAGCTATATCAAAGGAAACGGAAAAGGAAGCCAACGAAGTATCAGTGGATGATGAAGCAGCTAAAGTTCACGAAGAATTGCGACTTACCAAGAGAGAAGCAGGTAGTATAGTGGCAAATGAGTATGAGCAACATGCAACTTACAAAGGAGAAGTAAGCGCAGATTTAGCGCCAGTAAAAGTGTTTGAAACAGCTGCAACCAACGACAACAACACAATCACACTCAGCAGCAGCACTTTCGGCCCACCAATTGGCAATTTCATCAACTCAAAGGCGAATAATCAAACACACCAACAAAATGTGCAACAGCGCTCACAAATAGAGCTTCAGCATGAATCAGCGCCGCCGCTCATTGCCACAGATGATATAGCAGCGTCCGCCACAAGCTCAATTGATAAGGTGCGTATACGCAAATCTTTGACGGCCAAAAATGTTGGCGCAACTGCTCGTGTTAGCAGTAGTAGTAGTAGTAGCATTAATGCTGACGGCAAAAGCGAACACCATTTCTCGCAGTACAGCAAAGTTAGCCATCACGATAACAATTTTACCCAAAACTTCAACAAAGTCAACAATAACAATGTGACACCCAGCGCGCCAACTAGCGCGCTTCAAATAAGCAATCACGCAGTTGCATTTCATCATCAAAAGCAACAACAATATGAACAAGAACAGCAACGCCCAACAAATGGTAATCGCGGCATCGATGTTATTGGCATGCAACGCGCAATTAATGATCTAGCCTCCAGCTCAGATGAAAGTGACAGAGCAGCAGAAATTTTTGGTAACAAATTTGCTTATGAAGATGACGGTGATGAGATTGACATGCCAGCCGATGAAGTGGCTGTTGGTGCTGATGGCATGGATAAAGAGTCGGACGGCGAAGTGGATGTTAACACCGCTGAAGCTGGCGCTGGTGTTGAAGCTGATATTGATGCAGACGAGACCGACGATGGCGAGGATGCGGAGCTAAATAGCTTCATTGAGGTGGATGAGGAGCTATCACCACCCACTCTGAGCGCCCTACGGAGTGAGTTTCGTTTGCCATCAGCCGATATAGCAGATGCGGCAGATGGGCCACATTTCGATTACTCACGCATGGAATATAGTTTTAGTAATGGCATTGCTACGCACAGTCTGGTCGGCAGCAATGGTAATGGGCACGGTCTTGGTCTGGATGGCATTAGCAATGGCAACGGTATCGGTGGGGGTGGGGGAGGTGGTACTATCAACCTGGAAAATTACGATAACATTGTTTACTCAACGATGGAATTGGAATGCATGCCGGGCTATGATGGTGGTTTGCAGCAGCAGTTCTTCCTGGAGGCATACGATTCGAAGACGAAGAAACTGCGATTAAATACGACGAGCACATATGCGGATATACCCATATTTCGTATCGATTTGAGTGGTAAGTACATAATTAATTGAGTTTTCAATTCAATACTTATACGCTCGTTGATTTAAAGGTTTCTTCGACAAAATTTTGTTGTAATAATCATTTCCACTTCAGGTGGTCCCAAGGCATATCTAACGTTAGATCAAAAACAAAAATTATTGGAAGAAATAAAAATTGTTGTAACTTTATTTCTTAGTAAATTTGTTTGTTTCACAAAGCATTGAGCCATCCTTTGCAAGGCCCAGTAATCAGCGTTTGTGCTGCTGAGTTGGGCGAACGTTCCATATCAATTCAATCGAAGGATGAGATTTTTATCTAGAAATCATTAATAAAGGAAAGATACCTTTACCAATGTGAAATAAAAATTATTCTCATTCAAGGAGAAATGTATACACCCTCTCTCCGGGTATGCGGAAAAATCTAATCTACTACCCGGGTACCCGAATAAATAAAACCTCTTACCCAGATACTCGGGTAAAAAGAACCCCCATGTAAAGATAACCCACTACGCGGATCCCAGAAAACGCTATTCAAGTATCCGGTATTTAAATACCTATCCGGATAGCCGTGCCATGATAACCCCCTACCCGGATACCTGGATAAAGATAACCGCCCACACGGGCACTCAGATGAAAAACTTGGGGCAAATATAATCCACTTTTCAAGTATCTGGATAGAGAGATTAGAGTACTCGTCTAAAAATAACCCTGTATCCTGGTACACGGATAATGATAGCCTACTACCCGGATCTCGGACAAATATAACGTAAGTACCCGTATAAGGATAACCATCTAACCGCTTCATCCATGTCGCTTCTGCAGTGGTCGTTCCAGGGTGTGCCCCATCTGGCTGCGTGTAATCCAATAAGACAATGTCCGGTGAGAACTCCAGAGGCTTGGTAGCTTGGGACGTCTATGGCTGGCCAGAGTGTTTTTGCGATATGACAGGTCGGTTCCATTCGCCATATTTCTTAATTGGCAATTTCGATGAAGTTTTCTTTCAAAAGAAATGTTCATGTTTGAAGAGGGATACCGCTAGTATTACTTATACATGTATCAGAAAAGTCGTTCCATGACGCGCGAGTTCAGCAGCCTTGAAATTTCATTTAATGTCGCAATGGACAGGTACTCGGACCAACCATATCCCTAATTTTGGTGTACAAAATGCGTTCCGGAGACTTCAGTAGGAAGTACATGCTAGGCGCCCTTGGGATTTTCAAAAGGATCTTGTGTTATTGGTTTGCCTCCGAGTTGCAGCATCTAAATACCTCCCAATTTGTTCGTCTGGGATTTACGAGCGCTCTAGGCGCACAAATCAAGATGTTCAATTTAAAGCAAATTAATGAGTTTTCCCCGGTTGCTCACCAATTCGTCCCTGGTTTTTTAGCAAAGGATATATTGAGTACCTCATTCATTGAGTAGTTACAAAAGTAGGGGAGTGCCCAACATTAATATTATAAGATTGCTTAAGAAAAATTCGATGGTTTGTGCTTAAGCTGCCCAAATAACTTTATGGGCACAAAAAACTGCAAACTATTACAGAGAATTTAAGTTAAATAATACTTCGCAACACTTAATAAAAAAATGTTTGAGGCAAATAGGAAAAAATTCGGAGGCGATTCAGATCAACAAACATCTTTAAAATATATGACTTTTTTTAATTCTTTAATTCGTGCAAGTGAACGGATCTGACTTTCTTTTTGAAACTTGCACTCGCTAAAATCTAAGGCGTGCGCATTACTATAATATTGTGATAACTTCCGATTCATGCTAAATCATTACATTAGGGATGTCGGAGAATCATCGATGCATCGAAACTATCGATGGTAATTAACAAAATAATTCTATTGCGGTTTTTAACGAAAAGAAATTCAATCGTTAACACTTTCGCTGTAGCATGCATTTAGGCGCTAGGGGGTAACAGTGAGCTCGCAATGGCTTACGCCAACTTTTTAACCGACTTCCGAAAAAAGGAGGAGCTTATCAGTTCGTCGGAATATTTTTATTTTTTATTTTTATGTATGTTACCGCATAACTTTACCAAGTTCTACATTTGTAACAATTTATATGAAGCTAAGTAATTCCTTAAAGGTTGAAAGTTAGACTAAATTTATTAACACACTTTCATTAGTACCATTTATTTATTGTCGCACTTTCATACTAGCGGCCTCTTTCCAACTACCTAAAATGTACAATTGATTTAACATTTGGTGCGAAAACTGCAGCGAACTCTTAGCTAGTTAATGTAGCAGTTATTTCATTTGGTAATAAATCACCTAGCAAACAAACGCAAAATGAAGTGGAAAGGATAAAACAACAAAAAGTAATACCAGCTATTAACAGGCCTGGTGGCAGCAGCAGCAGCGGTTTCAGGAAAAATAATAATCGCTCTGCCACATTGAAAATAATGAGCTGAAGTTGTGCGTTTTTTCTCCGATAATTGTGTGGCGAAAGACTTCGCCGACAAAACGATTAATTAGCAAAAGTATTACCCTCTTCTCTCCATATGGTCTGATTCATTTATCGCTCAATACATAGAAACGGATGCATTAGAAAAAGAGATTCGGATGCAGTTCTTGTCTGCTGGAACTTTTAAAAAAGGGTTCGATAGTTAAAACAGGATGGTTAGGGTAGTCCTATTTGAAATAGCTGTTTGCGGTTAGTTAATCATCTATTTTTTTACGGCGGTTAGTGTCTTGAATGATGACTAGGTAGACAAAGATGTGGGATATGGCATCAAAAACTTTTCGCGGGTTTTAAATTGAGCCTTTTTATACTTCTTAGGAATATGAAATGGTATTATAACTTTGGTCCGATATTTGTAAGTACCAGAAAAAGTAGAGATAGACCCATAAAAAATTATACCAAAATGTCAGAACATCGAGTTGTTTGAACGAAGTCCAGTCCCTTAGTTAGTTATCAGACAGAAATTTGATAAGCGGATGTCTTTTTGTAATAATTTATTTATTTAGAAATTTCTCGGTATTTTTGACCGTTTTCGGAAAACAAGGAGGTTATCAATTTGTCTGAATACTTTTTTTATGCATGTTACCGCATAACTTGGGACCACGTTTACCGATTTCTATAATTCTTTTTTCAAAGGAAAGGCTGGTCCCATACAAATTAGATTTATGTAGAAATTAACGGTAATATAAAATTTTTATATTAGAATTGTAGTCGGTTTTGTTTTTTTACATAAAAATTAATTCTTATTTATTACCAACAGAGAGTTTACGGCGAAAATAACAAAGATCGGGGCACTTTGACTAAGGCATATTAAACAGAAAGTTTGAGTAGAGCAGCGGATTTGATTTTCTTCAAATTATTTGGTCTCTAAAATTTCAAATATTTTTCATTTCTTTTCCCAAAAATTCTAAATTCTAATACTAATTCAAAATCTATTTGCATGGGAAACCCTTTTCCATATAAAACAAGCAACTGAAAAGCAGTTTTTGGAACTTTCACCTAACTCAGTAGCAGAAACGCTAATTACTAGGCCTCGCAAGGGATGGATCGATTCTTTGAGAAGCAAACAAGTTTACTAAGAAAAAAATCGCAACATATTTGATTTTTTCCAAATTAAATAACAACAAAAATAATATGATAAAAGTGCGGCTATAAATTTTCGACAACTGTATATTAGCATATAACCAAGTCGGTTCCATGCGTTCTTTTCAGCACTTCGCACCTGGTTGCTATTTGGTGTCGATTTTGCTTAATTTATTAACTTGACTGGGTGTGGACAGTATGGGGAAAAGGCACAATTTCAAAAGTTTTGCGTTTGACAGCCGCAATGCTAACGAAACGAAAAACGACAGCTAAGTTAATCGCAAATCGACTGTGACTTTTTTCATTTTTTTATGCCTTTGCGAGTTAATGAGACAAACTTTTCGTCTATCGAGGCACTTACTTTTAAGCAATGCGCTTTTTTTTATTTGCAACGGCTACAGTTTATTACTAAATCACTCACACACCCATTAAATATATGTATGCATATCTATGTAAGTACCGCCATACACATGATCAGTTAGCGTAGCAACATCGATGGTACAAATATTTAGTACGATTTTTGGCAGCCTTATATCGCTTATTGTTGGTGGTTTCTATATAGGCATCAAAAGTATGTAGCTGAAAGCCTTAACACTCCACTCTACACTTCTCTACTTACTTATCCCCTTACAAACTAACCGCCAGACTTCTTTGTCTAACGCAACGCTTGCCAGTTCACCCACCGCAGGCATTGCTGCAGGTTTATTTGCAAAATCTAACGAAGCGTAAAGTCACGATTAGTTAGACAAGCGCGCTAAGCTGCCAATGTCAGTACAACACAGCCAACTTTACTCTAATTTACTTCGCATCTCTTCACTTTGCCAACTGCACTCTTCGCCCGCCGCCAACTGCTCAGTAAACATCTCACTGCACCCACTCACTAACGTTAACTGTTCGAAGTCGAATGTTTGATGGTATTGTAAATAGAGTGAAAAGATCAAAGTCGCTTTTGAAAATCATTGTAAGTGGTTGATGTGTTAGTTTTGCATTTGTTGTTGCTGTTCAATGATATTAGTACTGCAACGGTAGTACCCTGCAGTGAAAATCCAAACTAGACAATAAACTTTCTAGTAGAGTATCTGGTAAAAACTTACTAGTTTATTGACTGGTATGAGTCGAAGCGGCGACTTATTCAATTCGAATAACTTTATTTTAAATAGCCAGGACCCCTTGAAGTTACTGGGAAGTACGTATGTACTTCAATCGAAAATATAAGTTTATGAATTTAATTGCCAGTTTCACGAAAGAAATTTAATACCGTTTTTAAAGTGGCAGTTAACTTTAGGTTTTCCGTGAAAAATTTTAACGTTAACTGCCGAAACTGGTAAACGACACTAAGTGAAAAATTATTTTTTTCTGTCAGTTTCGATTTAAATTCAAAAAACAAGCTTAAAGAATGTCGCAATAATTAAAAAAAAAAATAATAATCTTCATCAGATAAAGGTAGAAAGTTTTGTCATTCGTTTATTAGGGTGTAACGATTTGCAGATGCATTCCGGTGCAGGTAAGAGACCATCTAAGAGTCAAGGGTACTAATAGACATAGACCAACGATATCCAGTTTGTCGCGTTTGAAAAAATATAATCAAAAAAATTAACTAAAATGTATTTCTGCGCTCAGGGAGAATTCGAATATAAAAAAATTGCAATTAAAAAACTTAAAGTTTACTGTAAAAATTCAATTACAATCAGTTGAGTACACATTTAAAAAAGTAAGTGCCAGGCACGGATTATTTTATCGATAACAACATCGATACAAATATCGTCCAGAAAATCGATAAAAGTTTCGGTAATCTAAGTTGTATTATTTAACCTTTTATTAGCACGTTTCTCTTAAATTAATACCATTTTCGTGTGGAATTTCCGTTAAATTTGCCAATTTACTCGCAATCAGCCAACCACCGCTAAAGAAGATTTACTTCAAAAACACTTATTTTTGCGCTGGCCGAGGGTTAGACTTTCTCGTATGCTAGCTCTCCAGCTGGACATCACCATGCCAGTTAGTAGTACGGAACAAAGATAGAAGACGAACTAGTTGAGCTAAAAAGGAAATTGTTAGTATCATAGTTCGCAATTAGTGGCATTTACTACAGGGTAGCTACTACGTAGATATATGTATGTATATAATTTAAGTGTTCTTACTATTGATGTTTCTTTATCGATAGTGTTGTTTTGCACGACTGTGGCTTCTACACTTGAAGTGAAACTTTATTTTATTTACTTATGTACATATATAAGTATATCACTAACTACTATTTAATATGTAGTAACCAAAAATTACAAACAACATTTGCGTAAATAGCTGTATGTTTATATGATATGCAAGTAAACCCAAATACAAACGTACATTTAAACAAACTTACCTACATATGTAGTAAGTAATAGGTACATGCAGCATGCGTATTGGCTTCGGAAAATGCTCTTCCGGCAAAATGCTTGCTAATGATTTCGTGTGTTCAAAGTTGATATGAACTTTCTGAGTACATTTCGTTGTATGCATTTGCGTTTAAGCCTCTAGTGATTGCCTTTTTGGCATAAAAAGTGTGAAAAATTAAAACTCTTAGGTAATTAAGCTATCGACTATCATAATGAATACAGCATTTTATTATGCAAGGCAAACTTATAGCTGAAGCTAGTACATCACCATAAAGAAAAAACTGCTGAGTAGTGGTAAATAAGTAGAAAGAAAACTAAAAAACGTTGTAATGGGATTTTATAAAAAGAATCAGCTTTTAGCATTGTTTTTATATATTACAATATAAATCTTTGCGTATGCCTCAACTCCAGTAACTTCTTTGATCTTGCAACTACGGCATGCTCCTGTACGTCCAACTCTAGCCCAATGTATAGCGCTTAACCTAATCAGGCAGTGGCCTGCTATAGCGCTTATAAAGAAGGAAATTTCTGTATTTAGCTAAGAAATGTGCCTTACTGTTGCATAACAGCCAACTCCCGAGCTTGCGATAAGAGCTATAGCGAAAATAAACGATTATTAAAAACGGAGCTTAACCCTTTCATGACCTAAAATAAATTTGAATGACAAGAAGATCTCAATTTTAACCTATTTAGGAAAACCCTTACACTTCAGAGAATTCATGAACTTTAGTAGTATTTTATAAAATTAATTTATTTTGAGTGAGATTGGTATGCTGGACCTATATTATGTTGGTGTCATTTTACGACCCATGACAAGTTTAATGATTGCACGATTTTCAAAGATTTTTTATACGTGCAACAACACAAAAACAAAATACACATTAAAAATAATAAGCAAATTCTAACTTTGCCCTTCTAAGCGCGAAAGGGAAACCTAAGCAAATTCTACACTAATTCTAACAACTTAATAATATCTCGAAAAAATTATAATTCTCTCGTTTATTTTACAGATCTAACTTCCATGGATTACTATCCCGATGCCAATCCAGCCCTGCATCTGGTAGTATACAGCGCAAATCAGAAAGGTCGTTCCGAACCAATCGTTTTAGAAAATATTCCGATAAATGAAGCTGAAAAACGACAAGGTAAGTGCAGTTTAACATTGTGTAAATAATATAACTAAATATGTACAAACAAAACTTTTTAATATTGTTTACCGGAAAGGTCATTAAGTCCGTGAAATTTTAAGCGTATGTCTTATAACTTTTTTTTAATTAGCAGATACACTTTTATACTAAAATATTTTTTTCTGCGTTCAAAATTTTGAATCCTAATGATTAGAGTCGAATATTTATGCCATAAAAGGATCATAAAAACATATACCATCATAATTGAGGATATATAAAGATATTTCCACAATACAATACAGCACTTGTGAGCGCTAAAAAGTGAATGAGAAAATATTAAGAAAGCAATTTTAAATATAATATTTAAGGCAAATTCGTTGTCTAATTCCCACTAGATAAAATACTTTAATAATAATCTATATATATATATAATTTTTCATACCACCATGTACTCAATGCCTGTACTCATTAAAAGTATCGAATAGAAAATTCGATGCTACTCAAAGTATCGCTAGGAAATACCCGTCTCTACTACTTGTACTCGAAGGTACTCAAACGAGACATTTTAGTTCATCTAAATTGACAAAGGGGTAAATTGTTTAAATTTATTACTTTATCCGCAATCTTACATGAACGCATCTCGGTAAATACTTGCGTAAAATTGCTTATTATTTAACTTTTATGGCTAGTTACGATTCATTCTTACCTCGCTCGTTGTGTTCATTTGCCTTTTATGTGTTCGTAGCCAAAGTGACCACCTGGTAATCTGTCAGGGTGGAATTTTGCTGAAATGTATGCATTTAAAAAGACTCTAAAATATTTTCCATATACATGAGGCCACATTTTTTTTTTAAGAGTTTATAATGAGCTGTATATGAGGCCAATAAGAGTCCAATATGACTGATTTTCAGGCCCATTTGATGTATGAATTTAAGCTCATATAATGCGACCTTCGAAGGGAAGGAGACACCTTCATTTCGGATTCTTAAATGAATTGATAGTTATTCAAAATTTCATGCAGATGTTGAGAATATGCTCGTACATATTTCTTGTGGAAATCGATGGAAATATGATAGTTTTATCCATTTAACAAAGCTAGATGATGTTTTTAAATATATTCAGGATGTTTTTAAACTGCAGCTGCTACCGAAGTTATGAGTGATATAAAAGAAAGAAAAATTAAAGAATTTCCAAAAATGGAAATATCGTTTTGGATAAGACTCTCCTCAACTATGTGTGAACAATGTGTATACCGATTTATACATTTTGCTTATTAATATGATGGTACATATTTTTATTTGTTTATTTGTTTAATTTAACCAATGAATACATCAAATATCCTTACAGACTATTAGAAAGAAAAGTAAAGTAAATTTACAAAATTAATCCAAAATAAAAGATAACAATTTCAAAAAGTCGTTTTTACAGACTGTAAAATCAATATGAATACAATTTTCGATGCGATTAAGATCGCATAAAGCTCTTGTGATAGGAGCGTGTAATGCATAAACAGTTTTTACCGGGCCAATATGAAAGGACTCAAAGTGACGTAAATTTCTAAGTGGGGCATTAAAATGAATACGTTCAAGGAGGGAGGCACAGTCCACCCCTCCAGAAATAATATGAAATACAAAAAATAGCGACAGATTCGATCTCCTACTTTCCAGCGATTTTAAATTAATGAGCTTACCTCTAGCAAGATACGAAGGAATAGGTTCATTAAAATGCAAGGTTCGAAGAGCAAACCTGATAAACACCTTTTGAACTTTTTCAATGCGGTTAACATAACATGCATGATATGGCCTCCAGATAAACGAGGCGTACTCTAACCTAGATCTAACAAGGGTAGTGAAAAGCAATTTAAGTGTATACGGATCAGAGAATTCGGAAGTGTTCCGTCGTACAAAAGCCAACATTTCATATGACTTTGAGACAATGAAGTTAATATGATTGCTGAATGTAAATTTTCTGTCAAAAGGTACTCCCAAGTCCTTGATTTCTGGGACGGACTTTAAATAATAATTGGAAAAATGATAGGAAGTGTGAAAGACTGTGGTACGTTTACTGTAGGTGACGTGATAGCATTTATTAATGTTCAACAACAGGCGATTGGTGTCACACCATGATTTAAGATTATTGAGCTCTGCTTGAAGTATCTGTGAATCAAGCGGACTCTTTATTATGGAGTAAACTTTTAAATCGTTAGCATATAGGAGATATTTATAACGGGAAAAACAACTACTTATATCATTTATAAACAAAATGAAAAATAAGGGGCCCAAAACGCTTCCTTGGGGTACCCCGGAGGAACCTATAAAGGGATACGATAATGTATTAGCGACATTGACAACAGAGCGACGATTACTTAGGTAAGATTTAATCCAATTTAAAAAAATGGAGTGAAAACCTAAAGCAGCAAGTTTATGGACTAAAATCGAGTGTGAAACCCTGTCAAACGCCTTTGAAAAATCTGTATAAACCGCATCTAACTGACTTTTTAGAATGATTTTTTAGCATAAAGATCGAAGTTATTACTATATAAAGTTCTTCTAAATTAATATTTATAATATCATTAAAAGCAATCGAAACCAAATTACCTTGCAATGTATATTAATATATCACAGAAGCAAATGAAAACAGCATGCAGAAGACTTATATTCTACCATCTTAGGTGAACATAAAACATTACAGAATTACAAGTTTTTCAATTACAGAATACTTGGAAGCTTCTGAGAAAATCGTTGGTAAATCCTTAGAGAGACTATAAAATTTTATATTCACAATCTACGAGCTAAATATACGTAATAAACATTTAAGCAACCACTATTCTTTTTCCCCATAAATTTTCTTTCGAGATTTAGTAAGATCCAGTTAAAAAAAAAAAAAAAACTTTTAAAAATTATCGAAATAACAGCTTTCTATCTACATATATATATATGTACATATCGATGGCTGAGTGAAAGATTTCGAAACCGTTCGAAAACGCCCTACCTCAGAAAATTTTCCAACAATGCGCTATTTCTGAATTTGTTTGAATAGCGTCCTATTTTAGAATTTGATTTAAAAAGGCCTTATCTCACAATTCGGTTCGAACATGCCCTATCTCAGCACATTTGCAATTCTCCAATCAAATTCTGAGATAGGGTGTTTTTCAATAAATTTCTGAAACAGGCCGTTCTTCAATCAAATTCGGATATAGAGCGTTCTTGAAATGTTTTCTGAGACAGAGAGTTTTCGAACTGGCGGCCGAAGATAGGTCGATCGGCCACTCAGTCATCGATATATAGATCATAGAAATCAATAGGAAGTGAATTTGCACTTTCGGTATATTTTGCATTTATGCAGTTTTCCAACTTCAATTGTCTACTTTTTTATTTACCTATTTATGTAATACTTTCACTTTTACTCATTTCCATGATTTCTAAGATTGCCAACAAGCAAATCATCCAAAGTAATAAAAAATAAGTAAATAAAAACCCCTTCATTTCCCATGACAATTGGCCATTGGTCTTATTTACTGCCTTATGTTGTTTTTTGTCCTTTTTTTATAGATTATATTTAATTCGTTTTTCTTTTATTTGGTCTTCATTTTCTTTTGCTGCCTTGCCTCTTTTGTTTGTATTTTCATGGCTGTGACTCACTTTCTTTCTTTGAATAAAAAGTTGACAGGCTATATTGTCTCTCCGTTGTCTTTTAGTAGTAGTATGGTCGACAACAAAATAAAAACAATTTTCATGCAAAGATTTTAAAAGAACAGCGCAAGTATGTAGTGAAGTGTATCCTCGAGCTGACCTTTTATTTTGTTCACTAAGATATTTACATACATACATATGTATTTGTGTCTCTCTCGTATACGCCTGTTGCCCCGCGCTAAAATAACATTCAGCCGTATTTGCATATTTTCTGTCATGACTTTACTTTTATGATTTACTTGCCCGCACTGGCATTGAAATAGTTGAAGTGACGAACTTGCATTATGGTGATTTTATGAATAGTAAACAATGCATAAATGCATAATTCTTTGTAAGTGTATAAAATCGCATTCGCTTCAGAAAATACTTCCGCGCTACTTAATGCTAACCTTTATAGAGTTTAAGATTTAAAGAAGAATGTGCCCATCTAGTGGTGATTGGTGTTGGTATAAAAAAAGAATCACTTAACAAATGCACGCTTAAACAAAAGTGGCCAGAACATTTGTTAAAATATTATCATAGTGAGCGAAAGTCGTAGTGTAATTCGTTTTTAAAGTCAAATAAATCAAAATTAATTTTAAGCCAAGAGCTTTTCTCATCAAATCCAACTCAGAAGAAGGAGCCTTGGCAAGGACCTGGCTATCCTAGTCAATTCAGATCTCAGACCCTCTGCTCTCACTAGTTCTAGATTATTAAATAAAAAAATAAAAATAGAGCAAATTAAAAAAATTAAAAAAAAAGTAAATAATAAAGTGGGGTATTTTATTCCTGTCACCTCCTCGCGGTAGGCTCTGAATACTTTTTGAAAAAATTTTTGAAATCCGTTTCTCAATTTTTGTCACATGAAAGAATTTTTTAACACAATTTAACACAAAAGGCACCACTTAAAATTTTTCAATTAAATTCGTATTTTCATTTCTTTAAATAAAACAAATTAAATAATTAAAATGATAGCCTGAGTTGATAGATAGGCAACCCTACTCAAAAACATGTTAGTGTTAACGCTTGTTCTAACACTTTCTGTTTGATACCCACATTTTGATATTAAATAAGCATACATTTTTTTGATAAACGAAATTGTAACTTTTAAGAAAGGTGGCAACCCCACTCCGAAATATTTGTTTTCTATACAAACGGGTTTCGTTTTACTATAGGAATTGGGGTATGCTGTGGAGCTTTTGAATAATTATAAGTTTTCATATATCTGGCAACCCTATTTTTTTAATTTTATTCCATAAACTTTCTATAGAAAATGTAGAACTACGTGCCTTCTAAGATTTCTCATAATGTTCGGACACCTGGTGCTTTTCGATGTGATACCTTAAA